ATTAAGAAAGAAAGGCTAAGATTAAACTTTAGAACTAAACCTAACTACTTGCCAGATATAGGAGACATATCTATGTCTGATACTAAAAGACCATAAAGACATATGAGGCAAAAGAAAAAGTCAAAGCACGGGACTAAATTTTGGTTCAAAACTAAATTTTTTGATTCCTGATTCAGGGCCAAAAGCATTAAATGAATCAAATCAAATGGTAGGAAATATATAATTCATAGCAAAAACCTAATCATGAGTATCTGTGAACTGAAAAATCATAACATCAAAATTAACGAAACAAAAATGACAGAAAATACAAAATGAAACTTGTTACAATATGACACTAATTCACCTAAGTCTAAGCCACCCATCAAATGGAACAAAATAAGTAAGGATAGAGAAGACCTAAATAATGTAATTAATAAAGTAGATCTAATTAAACATTATTAAACTTTATACCTTAAACAGACAATAGTCCTTAACTTTTTAAATGCCCAAAGATCATTTCCAAAAATTGCCTATAACACTAGAAGAGAAAAAGGTATTAGTAGATAATGTTTCTGAATGGAAACAATACAGACATTTATTGAACTCTAGGCTGTAAAAGTCAATACTGATGAGTAAAATAGAAGCAAAACCTTATCACCAGGAAGTTTTAAATACCTCCTTCTCAAATTCTTGGGCCAAAGAGGGAATCTATGTATAACAACACAGAGTGAGGCGCTGCACATCAGAACCTAAACGATACAGCCGGAACAGTGCTCAAAGTTCACAGCCTTACAGTATTTTTATGAACAAACAACAAAGAACGAAAATGATTGCATTCAGGATGTAAGGAGCCACAACAAAATAAACCAAAGAAGGAAGGAATTAGTAAGTATAAAGGCAGAAAGTGTTGACTATGAAACAAAATACAAGCACAAGTAAGCCAATCTTTCTTTGGGGGAAAAAAAATCCAAACTAGCAGTTAACTCAATTAGGAGGTAAAAACAGGGAGCAGGGAGTGAAGAAAGCACAAATGCTACATAGCTATTACAAAGAATGAGATGACTATACGCACTGATAGAATATGGGACATACCACTGAACGAAAAGAGGAACAGCTCTTATGTGTGCTTAAAAAGCAGAAAGGCTATATTCACACATGTTCTTGTTGACGCAAAGACTGTTGACAAAAACAGAACAGTTGAAAAAAGTGCCGGGGCTAATTCACCTCCATCCTGCAGGAGGAGGTGGGTCAGGACAGGAGTGGGGGCACTGAGTTCCTTTTTATTTGTAAGTCTTTAAAAAACTATTTCTTCTCCAAAGTGCTTAAGCATACATGATCTCACCTGATCCCTGTGACAGCAGTGTAAGAAGCCAGCGGTGCTGGTGGAGACCGGGAGGTTGGAGACCTTGGGTGACAGTTAAGGCCACGTGGCTGCTAAGCGCCTCTTCCACGTCTTCAAACTTGACCAGGCTGCTAGAATCTAGGATATTTGCATTTAGCAACTTTTGGGTTGTATGTGGTGATTTCAAGAATAGATAAAAAGGCTCCCCTATAACACATTGGGAACTAAGCAACTTCAGGAAAACTTGACTGGGTCTGCTTCCTCACAGAAGGGAATGAATGACAGGTGTTCATCCTTTGTGATGGGCTAAACTGTGTCCCATTAAATCAGTATGTTGGAATTCTAGTCCCCCAGTACCTCAGAGCATTTGGAGATAGGGTCAGTTAAGTTAAAATGAAGAGGAAAAAAAATTAGCAAGAATGTTTGATATCTTGAACTAGGTGACAGAAAAAAAGTTAAAGGGAAGTCACATGATAAGGTCCTGGTCTAACACAACTGGTGTCCTTATAAGAGGAGGAGATTAGGACACAAACAGAAGACGGAAAGACCACGTTAAGTCACTGAGAAGATGGCAATCTGCAAGCCAAGGAGAGAGGCCTCATGGAAAACCAACACTGCCGACAGCTTGATTTCAGAATTCCAGCCTCCAGAACAATGGGAAAACACATTTCTGTTGTCTAGGCCACCTCTTCTGTGTCGCTTTGTTATGGCAGCCCCAGCAAACTAATGCACCCTTCAGCTTTATGTATCGAGAAAGCATTTTTTCTATTTCATGGATCATCTACAAGGATCAATCAGAGAGTGATGCAGCTTGCCTGCACCAACATTTTCAGAAAAGCAACTGGCCAAAAAAACGTGACTTGGAAGTACCTCTTCTCAGACACTGAGTTTTCTTTTCAAACGATTGAATTCCAAACTGTTAAGAGTGAAAAGCTCGTTGACTTATGCTAATCCTCCTGGTGTTACAGTTTTGAACGAAGCATTGATATTTGATGCTTGCACATTTAAAAAGCTGACAATCTGACAGCTTATTCTCCTAAGAGGACTAAGCATATGCAGAAGTAATGTCAAGATATTTGACTAGGACGAGACTCAGGATCCATATTTTCTTATGTCTTCACTCCGAGGTGACCTGAGCCATGGCAGGACTGAAATCCATCAGTGATGTTCCGCCCCTGTGTGAACCTGGGTGACCCACCTCACTTTGGATGCTTCATGAAGGGAACAGCAGCCTTTTCACATTCAGCCTGGAACACAGAACCTGGGGTGGCACTCAGCCTCTCCCAGCAAGTTACCTTCTGCTCTCCACTGACTAGCTGTGACCTGAGGTGGGTCACTGACCCCATCTCTTCATACATGCAGTGGGATAAAAAAGAGCTGCTATGAGGATTAAGTAAAATCATACATGTGAGGACTGCACCAAATAAATTATAAAGAGCTACACAAATAACTCACCAGTAACACTGTTAAATTAGGTGCATGATTAGTGGACCAGGGATGCTAAGACTTCTAATTCTATGACCTATGTGCTTTTCTGTATGTATGTTACACCTGAATTAAAATGTTTACTGAAAGAACAGATTTCTAATTCTGTCTGCCACAAACTAGCGCTAATACAGTTATCTATGTGGGGTCACCTTCCTGCTAAGCGGTCTTAGTTTTCCCATCTGTAAGATGAAGGTGTTGAACTATATTATTTTATGTTATCTGGACTCATCTAAAATTCTATGATTTATTTCTCATTACTCAGTGCCTTGATAATACATAATGATAACACAGTTTTTAAATGGAGGCTTTGACACGTAGGTGGGGACACATCTGTTTGATGTGAAATGCCTGAGGTCAAAGCACAAAAGGGTTTGCGAGATGCCTGGGTATTTTGTGACTAGATCATACAGGGGATCCCCAGTGACTGATGGGGCTCTGGCGGGAGCTCTGACAGGGAGATGCTCTAGTAGATAAGAGTATTCTGAATTTCAGGCAAGCAGACAACAGAGCGCTCTGACTACAGCTTCTCCACAATCACCTACAATGTGGGTACTTAAGAAAGTTCAGAACAAGACTTTATTGTCCCTTAATCTAGGTTTGAACTCTGACTCTGACAATGCAATGGCTCAGCTAGCTACGCGACCCTGGGCAATTTCCTTCCCCACCAGAAGTCTCGGCCTCTTAAACCAGTACAAGGATGGGGGAATCTGTATCACAGCAGAGCACATGGCACACACATGTGACAGGCATCCAAACCGCCACTGCCACCTCATCACGAATGCTCAACATAAGCCGAGTATGTGCTCTTCTCAATTCTTGAGTTTATGCTGTTGATGGCCAGGGAGCAAGCCTGACACCTAGAATGTTCACCCCCGTGGGACACGGTGCGCGCCCATACACATTTACAGAACTGCCTTGAAGAGGGAAGCAGGATTCAGAGAATTGCCCTATGAACAATGGCAGGTACAGCTCTTTGAAGGAGGAGGGATGGGATGAAAACCATGACAGAAGGAAATCCAGGCCTTTTTTGGGGTAAATCTCTCACAGAAGTACTGTTGTTGCTAATAGATACTTAAAATATTACACAAGTAGTTTTATTTTACTTAGAGTGAAAATCTGGGGAATGCAGAAGAGTAGGAAAAGAAAAATGCACCCATAATTATAACTCCAGGAGATGAACAGTTTCAAGGGGGAGCCCCACCATGTGCTGTTGGAAGTCTCATTGCACACAAGCCACATATGTCAAGGGGCAAGAACACAACACCAGACTTCCCCTCCTTCCCTCCATTAATTCATCTCCCATCTTATCCCAGAAAGAATTCTGCATGGCTGCATGACGTGGGCTAAATCCCTTAAACCAGACCTCGGTCCACACCTGTAGAATAAGACACTATATCACTGCTACTGGAACACTATCATATAATGTGAATGTTACTCACTGAGCATCTTTCTCACCCCATATACAGTGCTTAGTATACACACACACATCATCTCTGTGAAAATGCTTTGTAAACCTTCAAGCACCACTCACAGACTATTGCATTATAAAGTTTTGATTTGTCTTGATGACAATTTCATCTTCTAGAAGGCAGAGGAAGCATTAAGAGGGGATGAGACCTAATTCTAAACAACAAAGAATCAGGGAGAAACCTGGGGAGAAAGCGACAGTATCATGTAGTTTTCATTACAGATTATAAAACAGAAAAGCCATCCACACATTTTCCTGGTAGAACTTTCCAGATCCAATGGACAATATTTCACATTCTTTTTCTCAAACTCAACCTTTCCTGGATGTGCCTTGACAGCACCTGCTTCTCCAATACACTGAGCACCAATGAGAATGAAACATCATGGGTCCACAAAATATGAGTATTCTGTGCTATATGAGAATCTGAACCCAGAGCCCAAAGTGTGCCAAGTCCAACCATAAATCTCCCTCCTCTGATGCACACATGCTAGCACACAGGACTGTGCACACCTCCTGCACCCAGCCCACCACCTACCGATTCTCAGCCAACCTGACTTCAACGCGGGACGTGTAGTTAAGACCCAGTCATGAAGCTCTGCGTCTGAAGGCTTATAATTGAAAAGAGCACAGAACATTTGTTACCGTGCTCCCCACCCCGCACAAGACTGCAGCGAGGGAACCGTTGAGGCCAACTTTAATTATACCTCCTTGGGGTGCACTCACCTGCTTTGCTGTTTCCAGGAGAGCAGCAGCTTCTGCCTTGCCCAGTTGCTGTACCATCTTGTAAAATTGGCTCTCTTCATTTTGCAGCAAAATATATGGCTCATCATATTCTTTCAGCCTTCCTGAATCCAAAACCTGTTGATCAGCAGAAAGCAACAACATATTATAACTCAGACAGTATTTCGGAAAGGGGAAGGAGAACAGAGAATCTCTTTGGGTGGTTTGCCTGGCTGGTGTTTAAATGGTTTGATTACCCTGTTTTACCAGGTAGACAAAGGCCTAACCTGACCTTTCATTATTATAATGTCACAGGAAGGGAAGAAAATGAAAGTTTTAGACGAAGATTATGGGCACGCAGC